TTTGCTGAATAGAGGCCGCTCTGTGGTTGATTTTGACAGTTTTAGTAGCGAAAACTATGATAGAAACCTATAAAAAATTTCAGTGAAGAATATTATCTATTTGAATTGCTAGTACATATTGAGATCAACGCTGGTAGTAGGAGGCACTGCAGTCAGATATAATCACAACTAATTTGTTTTCAACATTTTCCCCAACTCGCCTGAAAAATTAGTGCCAAAACATATGTTGATCAGTCAGGCAGTTGAGAAAAGTTTTTCAATACCGTTAAATTTGGACAGGTGTGCACTCGCGATCTCCAATTTGCGCTGTTTTGTTAGAGTGGAGGAGTGAGAATAGACTCGATTCCAACCGTTTTCCGCTTCGATTTGTCCAAAATATAAGTCTTTCATCTGTTTTGTTCTTTCACGCTTGTTTAGTTTGATTCGATTGTTCGAAATTCCGACCACCACGTTGTTTTGCTCTAGTGCGAACGCAATTTACACAGTATAAAAAGGAGGCATCGCGGAGCAATAATCGTGAAAGCGTTTAACAATGGGTTTCCACTTCATGCCGACTGCAATCTTCGTGTTCGTACTCATGTCGGTGAGCGTATTGAGTAAGTGCTCATTAAACCGCAGGTTTATCCAGCTGACCGGATGTTTATTTGAGTACAACTTTCATATATTCTTTAACGTGTAACACAGAATTAAACAGGAAACTTATTCACTTGTTAGACAATTGCACTGTAGGAATGAACGTAGTCTCTCAAATATGTGAATACAACTACACTATTTACTAAAGAATCTGAGTCATGGTAAAAGACGTGAAGTATTTCCGGAAATTATCTAGGCTTGTGTCTAGTAAGTGCTCAGTTCAATGAAGGCATATTCAAAGGCCGAAATATCCCAAACTCTGTTTCCTTCAAGAAATCAACCAGCGTTTGGTTTCCTTCCTGGTGGAAAGAAAGAAATCAGTGGATGCCGAGTGTTTGTTCGAATATATGTGTGCAAGTAATAATGAAGCTAATTTGTCTGATCATGCAACTACTTTTTATTTGTACCTCAATGGTTTACCCTATGGTAATATGCGAACCAATTTCATTCACCACACCAGCTCCTGCATCGAGCGGTAAGTCAGTGTATTAACTCACCTTTCGCCATCCAGTTGGGATTTCCGTTGAAATTATCTCACACACTGAACCAATGCGCATTACACATACGTAGTTAGAACGATCGCAAAAGTTGCATGAAAATAGCCAACTTCAACTTGTGCGTATGTGAAATCGTTCACAGTTTAACAATTGCGTGTTCATTCCGATACTACTTAGAAATCAGAGGAAGATCTTCGGAAGACGCTTTAGAGTAACTAACGATAACAGGGTGAACTGCTCACCGAGTTGACTTCGTGAATACCCGATACGTTCATTTGTAAGTAATATGCGAAAAAGGCTTTGAGCCAGTATGGAAAACGATGGCACTAACAAGTATTATGCGTTCAGGATCAATCTAAACGCCCAATGACACGAAAAGTGACAGCTGGATAGTTTAATGGTTGCTGTCTAGACCATCGCTGGTATAACATTTCATCTCTAATCATTTTCAATGGTTAGAACTTGAACATCTTTTTAATTCGCCACATTCCCTTATACTTGCATGCTCTTCTTCTATCATATATGTGAATTTAAATTACTGCCCACCCAATCGCAATCAGTCAGCTTCCGTAGCTCGTATGTTCAGTAAATGTTAAACTCACCAATTATTGGCACACACGCACACAATGTTCTTATTTAGACGTTAATGTGGGTGAGTTCAAACAGATCCGAACGTAATCGTCAATGCTTGCTTATGTATCCGATCCGTGCTGCTTTGGAAGCATTCTTATCATAATAATTTTAACTAGAATTCAGTCATATTTTTGCAAGTAATACTGTTAATAATTGTGATGTATTTGTTCCATCTTCTCACAAGCTACATAGCAGAGTATATTCCGGAAAAGCACTAGTCGTGTTTCGCCTTTTTAGGGCTTGCCAGTTGTGCGCATTCCGTAGGTCAAATGCTTTGGTTCGTACACATGACCGCTAGTGGCGGATGACAAATAGCCAGCAGCTTAAGCCACTAAAACATAGGGGACCTCGGTTGAGCCATCAATTTGTAAGGTAACTGGGATATAGCACGGCATATCTTCCAGTGCCACATAGTTTGCTATGTTAGCAGGTGACAGTGGCTAGCCTACGCGGGACATTAATTCCTCTAAATAAATGCTATATCCATAGCATTTAAAACTATAAAAGGCTCCATTTCCTAACAATTGTTAGAATACTGATTACAATAATCCAATGATTAGCATACGCCATCATCGCGCAAATATCAACACTGGGCGCACAGACAATGTGCGTCATTCCGAGCACACATGAGGGTTCCGCGCATCGTTTATCTTAAAGCTAAACGACGATGCAACAAGGCACAGGTTATTCGGCGGACTAGAGGACGGCCATCTGACTGCTTTCAAAAAACATTTAATATTTACGCAAAGAAAATCAACAGTAACATTACAATGTAGTAGCACATACGCGTTCTAGGTTTCCATACAGCAGCACAAGCAACTGCGCCACACACATATTTTGTAGTGTTGACGGCGGCTATGCAGAGCATACCAGTATCAAATGTTAGGCTTTCCATGATGCCGTTTAATGAAAGAGACCCCGACGGAGGCTCTCCCATTTTGTACGATTTTAGTTAGGTTTGATTTGTGATCCCACGCGTCCATAGTATTTGATTCGGGCGAAACTTATATGTTTCAACAAAATAAATAATCCTTCACTGTCTACAGTTAGTATTTTTTGAATTCGTTTGCATATATTTTGGCAAATGGTTAACAAGCTAGCGCCTGTATAACTCACGTAGTTGGCGTGTGATGACTTTCATCAAAATATTGCGGTTTCACAGTCTCCGTTTCCCGATCAAACACTTGCGCTGAATACGTTGTTTTTGTTGTGCACTATGTGACTCTACTGAGTTTGAACGATGAATCAGCCGCACGTGAAGCTGCAAAACCGCTATGGCGATTTCAACGGATTTGTTGACTGAATTGCCTCATATTGCTATGCGTAGGTAAAGGTGTGAATGCTGTCACCTATCAATACCAGTTGCACCTATTCATTCAGTTCATTCAGAGAAACAACCTGATTAACTTGTACTGTGTCACTCAGCCAACCATGGATATTTGCAGTGACATCCTCCCCACTTTTCACACATTTCAGCGCAAAAGGTGAATCAGGGTGAGTGAACAAATCGCAAGCGCAGATTTTGAGCCAAACACTCAACAACGAACTACATTCGACATATTTGCTCTAGCATAACAACAATGCAACTGAAGCAATTAAGCAGCATCATGACGTGTGACAGTTACGAGTAAATGCTTCTGAACGAGAATCATGCATGCACTAAGGCAAGTAACATTTTGCCGCTTATTACCCCAGTCGTATCGTCACTGTGAATTATTTCCTTGATAGAACAAGACTTGGATGTTGGTGAGTCTTCCTCTCCTTGGTCTCGGGTGTTTTCGGAAGCTGTTGCTGTAGAGTAATTGGCGTAACATATCAAATCTCGTTCGCTGTCAATTTCGAATTTGCGGTTGGTAGCAAACCACCAGCCTGTATTTTGCTGAACGTAACGGTGAAATTGACAATTGTTGTTATTGATATATATATGACGATGACACTCTTACTAGTGCCTGTGCAACGTCACAATATATACCGAAATCTTTTCGCGAATGCAGCCGAAGCTTCCTGGCATTTCTTTCTCAAACGTTCATATGTGCTGTGTGCTCGATCACGCTCGGACAGCGATATATGCTAATAGGTTAACCCTACAAATGTGATGGCGTTCTCGGAGAGCTAATTTAAGCAATAGTTGGAAGCAGGTTCACTATGGAACAGTGAGTATTCGAGGAATTGCGCCTACGATTTTCTGATAACGACTGTTACATCCTCGGGCAATTTATTAGTTTAAACCATTTATCTCTTTAGTTGCACAGAAATCTTCAGTCTATTGATGTTGTAAATGCTTCCTTCTTCGCCTCTACTCTATGCCATAACGACTGTGCTACTGCTGCTAGCTGCCCCTTGAGACTGCCACTGTCTGACTGCTCAGTCACGCGCCCAGCCCACCAACGGAATGCAGAAGACCAAGGTTCGGTAGACAGAGATGCTTATTGTATGAGAGCACGGCCCAATAAATAGGTTGTGAGCAACTACTTAAACAACAATATTGGAGATGCTAATTGGCGTTAATTAACACAACTCAAATGGTTCAAGTTCGTGATCCAACTTGCGTCTGATTCCGCATCAATTCGCATTTTGATCTATAGTCGAGTTCGATCTCTAATTGCTGATCGATCCACTTTTACGGCACTGCTCTCGGCTTGATTGCTAGCTGTAAGCTCTCTCCGTAACAATTGAAAGCCTATATTGAACAATTAAAATATCCAACGCAATGATTTACTCATACGCAAAGTACCCACAACAGTATACACCATCTCTTCTCAGAAATATATTTAATAGCCAGGGAATAAAACGTCTCAATCTCGGCCTAAACCGCTAACTAGCTTCACACACTTCTAGTCTTAATTCCTCTGTTTCAGTCGCGTTCAAATATGAAGTGTTCGCAACCACTCAGTAATCCACCGAATTCTCTACGCTCAGTGCACATCCATTTGATTGCTAGACGGTTTGAGGTAGAGCATTTTGGCATGGTTATCGAGTCCGCTCCATTCCATTTGAGTATGATCTGTCCAGAAAATTTATAAGCTCTTGCTTATGCCGTCTTCTTGTCAGACACTGATGCGGATTGGCCAAGGCCATACCGTGGACGTAAACGTGAGTTGTCGCATTAATGTCATGCCGCAAGAAATATTCCGTTAGTCTAAGTCGCAAACTGGTTCCGGAGGCTTTAGTCATTCCTGTGCTTCACACCGGAACGCATGAAGTTTAACGGAACCGGTCTCCACAGTTTAATTTTGCATGTTAAGCATCCATCTATATTCTAATATCTGCTCAGTGAACTACCCTCTTCAATCAGTATATGTGCACACGAAAATGATCCGAACAATGTTCAGTTTATGTAAGGATTTCACGGTCAGTAATACGCTTGCAGAACAGGTAACATTGCAATTTGTCCGTAGGTTTGTAAATATTGCTTTGGCTTAGCAAATACTCCAGATGATCGCAGCTAAACATGGAGCCTGTAGTTTGAAAATATGAGATTTACATTTAATCAGTTGTAAGATTCAGTCGCGAATCATCGACCGTCAACAGCGACACGACAGAGCGCCGGCAGCGATCGTATGTTCAAAATGCGAGCACAACGTCTTCTCAATATGAAATAATACAGCTGATTTAGACCTCATCCTGGTGTACATATTGCCTCTACACTGTTTCACCCCATAGCTTAGTGTGTGAGCTAATTTTGTTCGCGTTGCAAAGATAAAGACATTGTAAATCAAACTTCAATCCGAGCATCTCTTACCCCATTTTCAGCCCGACGTGCACCTAGAGAAGATTGATTGCTTACGCAACTCTATGAATTTGCCACTGTTCATTCTCAATATAACTTGAGCGCCATATCTCTTTTTCGTTTGCTATTGTAACCAATTCCTTATCGATAGGAATGCAATGTTGCGATTGCTTCGCACTATAGCCATGTGATGGAATGTAGTCCAAATTGCTTGATTCCATTGCCTGCGCATCGTTTGCGATAATGCCGCACTGTCCAATTTTGCAAACGGAATTTATACATAGGATTTCGATATTGTGGAATGGAAACGAGCGTGGTTGAAAAGGCTGCCAATGCACTGCAATCGAATTATCTTGAAGTGTCATGCACTGGTCGTGTGCATGGTTTGCTGCCCCTCATTCTTAGATTACTTCGTTCGAGGTGGTCTGAGGCTGTGTGTCTGAACCAATCTAGATATGGCGAAGCGTCCAGATAATTCATCATCAATTTTGCGTCTGTGAAAACTGTTTGATTAATCTAAACATTTGCGCGACTATCGCAGTGGTCCAAATACAACGCTCGTAGGTTCTGAACCAGGCAAATTAACGCTAAATAACACGCTGTGCTGAAACGCCTGTGATGTCACTTACGTAACTACTCACACTTCTTAATATACATTGAGAGATACGGAAATCCATTTTGTCATGCGGGACCAACATCCAAGAAATTGCTGAAATTAGCGCAGTTATAATTGATCGAAACGTAAACCCAATTAAGCAGTGCGATTAACCATATTGGGACGTATTTCATTTTGCATGGGTTCAATGTTTAGTGAGCAGGAGGGGAGTTCCTGGTCAGCTCAGTCTATTGGAATTCTGTGCAAGTTTACGCAACTGGCCACGAAGCGTCATTCCTCTGGAGATCTTCTCCGTTGCAGTAGGAGCAGCAAAGCCTTGCGGTACACACCACATAGCAGTTGAGCATCCTTTTGAAACGTTCCTCTGTCGATGCTTCAGAAATGATTCCGGTGGGCTGTTTCAATCATTCCCTACATGGATTGATGGGGAAGCATTTGGACGGACATGAAGTATTCGGCCCTTGTACAACTTCCACGTGTGGCTTCGTGTCGAGCCGTCCACGTTGAGCCGAAAGTTCCTTTGTACCTCACTCTCAGGTTCTACTCTTAGGATCCGTCTGGGGTAGATAAGATCTCCACGGCGCCCACGATAATCCATTGGGAAGATGTTCAGCTTTCTGAGTCGAAGAGGATAAGCAAGAATACGCAGCTCCATGACGGATTGCGAGCCACACCTCTGAACTCTTTCTAGCAAGTAGTATGCGGATTTTAAGAGAGGATAGGTAGCTGGAAGCACTTTCTCCAATATCGGGCGGATATGTGATGTGAACAGAGTTCTGAAAGCTGCCGGAATGTTACGGGAGAACGACCCCCGTAGAGCAATCAGCATCCCTTTTGCCGCCGCGACCTTTCTCAGGGTATCTTTGGAAGTTTTAAGGTCATATGACACGATAACCTCCAGATCCGTCTCGTGTAGAACATTCTTGAGAAGATCTCCACTTCCGACTGAATCCGGGTTACCAATCAGAAGAACAGCACATTTTTCGTAGTTAACGGGTAGTTGCCACTTGACGGACCAATCGTGCAGCTAGTCCAGCGCCGTTTAGATTCTGTGCGCGTCCTCAAGACTAGCTACTTCTGACCTTAGCTTGAGATCATCAGCGTAGACTAAGTAGTCGACTTGAAAAGCTGCAGGGAGGTCATTAATGTAGAGCATGGAATGTTCCGGCCTAAAGACACAGCTATGTGTGTCTCCGCTAGTCATAGACACAAAGCTAGACAGCATTTGATTCACCTTCACTTGAAGAGTCAGATCTCTCAAGAAGTCCGGAACCTATGCAAGGATTTTTCCGGTGACGCCCATTCCCTGCAGTTTGAGCAGAAGTCGTTTGTGTGGGAATTTAAAAGAGGCTTTGCTGAAGTCAATGTAGATAACATCTAGGTGTCTCCGGTCGTCTGTCGCTTCGACCCACGCTTTCCTGGAAACAAACAGGTTAGAGATGCAGGAGCGAGCCCTGCGGAATACGTGCTGAGCGGGGTAATATGGTGCACAGGCATTCGCAGTAGGTTTGGACGGCGCGCTTGACGATCCGTTCCATGAGCTCGCAGATCAGAGATGTCAGGCATATCGGTCGATAGTTTGCAGGATCTTGCCGGTTCCCACCTTTATACTTAGGCATTACAATCCCTACTTACCATTCAGGTGGTAGGCGCCCGACTGCAAAAGAATGCCGGAAAACTTGGGGTATCGGATCAGTAATGTATTCTGCTACTTTCTTGAGGAATAACGGGTGAAGTCCATCTGGGCCCGGTACGGAATTAGAGTTCATTTCAAGAAGGAGTTTCTTGACCATCTCGAGATTGATCCCGACTTGCGTTGCCGGATCAGCAGTGGGTAGTGAGGGTTCCACGGAGTAGATCGAGGAATTCTGGGAGGCTAGAAGTTAAGCCTTCTTGTCATTTTCGTAGAGCACTCAGTATTCTTCCTGGCAGGATAGAGCAGGGATACCACTACCAGCTTTGGTGCTTCGTTTCCGGTGTAGAACATCTTCTTTGGGCAGGTTCATTCTTGCATTCATAGGCTGTGTTCGTATTGTGATCGTTCCTGGCGCTTTCTTAGAGTGCACAGATTGCTGATCACTTTGTACTTCGAGTAAGCCGAAGTTACCTGTGTTGACTTGAATATCTCCCGCAGTTTGCGTCGTTTGTTCATCAGGGATCTCACATCTCTGTCGATCAATGAGGGGGCCTTTGGGGAAAGGCCTCCCCTTGGTGATAGGAACAACGTTTTTGATGACCGAAATCATCTCCGATCGTAGTACGTTCTATGCTTCATAAGAGTTTATGGATTGCGGAATAGTCCAGTCTGTGGTGCTTGCCACGTCTTGTAATCTGGATGGGACAACACGACAGAAGGTGCGACGGCGTGTCCCCTGATCATGTATGACAAGGCGGCATGCCCAAACGATGGAGATTGTGGAGTGGTCACTCCGGCCAAGTGGCTGGATAATATTCAGGCCATGGACATCAGACAGAATCAGTGTGAGGACGAGACCCAGTATGTTTAGTGTTTGACCCGGTATCATCCGTGTTGTCGCTGAGATGTGCTGGATCAGATTGCATTCCTGAATAGCGTCGAGAAAGCCAGCCTCTAAGGAACCTTGGTAAAGATCACAGTGAATAAGGTTCCAGTCGACACAGGGTGCATTATAGTCGTCCATTAGCAGACAGTTCCTTAATCGATCATTGGTTTTCACCGACCTTAATAGACCGACGCCTGAGATCATTGGTTCTCTGTAAGCCACACCGACCATGTGCAGCTGATAGCCATCATGAATTCGGCACCACAGTATCTCTGAGGCTCCGTCATTGTCGCAGAGAGTTTCGGTACCGTGTGCCTTGAGACAGGACCAATAGTAGGGAGTTACTCCACCTCCAGTCAGCCCACTGCAGCAATCTGCTCGTGTGAGTTGCTATCCCGTTATGCTAATCTCAGCGTGCTTGATCTCTGTTGATCACTAGGTCTTGGTGAAAGCCAGCTTGGCTATTGGATCGGTTTTCCGTGGTATCTACCAAAGTTTCTATTGCTTTCTTGTATAAGGGAACCGTTTGAGTACTGTAATCGGAAAAACGCTTCGAAACCTTCAGCGTAACACACAGCCACCGGTTGTTAATGTAATATAAAACTGTGGTAGAGTCGGTCCAAAACCAAACTCGCTCGAATTTCATTTGGGCCCTTTCACGAACGCTCTCAAACACCCGGATAGCGAGTACTGCCGCAGACAACTCCAGCCGTGGTATAGAGATAGCTTTCAGTAGCGCTACTCTAGACTTCGAGTAGAGTAAAGAACACAGTGTGAGATCACCAGCGCGAAATCTGACGTACGCGACTGCGCCATACCCGATCTCTGAGGCATCACAGAATACTTGTAGTTGTGGCAGTTCGACAGAATCTAAGGAGTGGTAAATACATCTGGGAACCTTTAGGAATCCTAAAGCACTCACCCCATTTAGCCAGGCATGCCAGGCTTCTTCATTCTCTCCAGCGAATGGACCATCCCAACGTAACTTGTCCCGACAAAGCGTTTGCAGTAATGATTTAGCAGGCATGACAACCGGTGCTATCAACCCCAAAGGGTCATAGATAGATGCCACCGCAGACAATATGCCTCTTCTGCTTCTGGATCGCATCATAGTGTTTTAAGTAAATCCAGCAGAATTTCGCATAAGGTGTTAAGGGCTCTTAAGCTAGCGGAACTCAAGAAATTAATGGCTGGAACTGAGCTTGAGATAGTGCAACGGCAGCTAGATGGCGGGGAGGAGTTAAATGACGTTGAGCGACTCTCCCCTGCTAAACGTAAGCAGGTAAACCGATTCTCGGAGGATTGTGGAAATAGCGTACCAATTGAGGAGATCCATAAGCCCTTTGCAAGCCAGTCACAAGTGCCTTGTCGACCCTTCGTATAACTTCCTAAGGTCGAGTTTGAAAGTTTTGATGGTAACCCGGTTACTTATTGGAAATTAGTGAAACAGTTTGAGTACTTCGTCGAGGATAGAGTCAGTGACAGTGGTCAGCGTTTATTGTATTTGATTTATTATTGTAAGGACAGAGCTAAAGAGGCTACAAGGAGT